CCCCCCTGGGGGGTGATTTCTCGCTTTCTGTCTCTCGGTCTTTCCTGTGAGTGCACGTGCCCTATAGCAAAAACCTCTAAAAATTTATTTTTATTTATTTAATTAATTTATTATTATTATTTTTCAATTTGCTACAGAGCACATGCACTTACCAGAGAGAGACGGAGAGAGGAGGGAAAGCCAGAAAGCAAACCACCAGGTTTGAGACTCAAATCATGGTCGGCCCTGTGGGAGTCCAGCGCCTTAACCACCGCGCCATCTGCTGGCCCCATCCCGTGTTCATTTCAAGCTGCCAGAGCTGGGACTCTAGCAGCGTCGGCCATGTGGGATCTGACTCCCTCAACCACCAGGCCCCCAACCAGCCCAAGGCCTGTGTCTGTCATTGCTTGCTCCAAGCCTGTGCCTCTGGCCCTGGCTGTCCTCTACTCACTCAAGGGCACTTTCCAGCTCTCTGCCTTTGCCCGGGTTATTCCTCTTGCCTGGAATGCCACCGCTCCTGCCTCATAGACTGTTCACTTTCCCCCCACAGGGAACATTCATCCCAAGTTTAGGCCTTGCTGGGCTTTCTGAATCATTATATCTCATCTTAAAATGTCACCTCCTTCCTCAGAGAAGACCCAATTGCTACATCTGCAGGAGGGCCCCAGGCTTAGCTGTCACACCACCCCGTTTATTGTGCATGCTGAGCTCTGTCTGGACTAATTTGGAAAATGGCTACTTTACCTTGGTTCCCTACCCCCTCCCTTAAAACATTAGCCCTCTCTTGGGACCAGCAGCTAGCGTAATGGCTATGTCGCTGGACTCCCACGTAGTCGACCGCGGTTCATGTCCCGGACCCGGTGGCTTAAAACTCACGCCGGGCGCGTGTGCGTGCGTGCCCAAGATCCCGAGAGGAGAATGGAGGAGAAGGGATTGCGGCGTGACCATCCCCCCTGGGGGGTGATTTCTCGCTTTCTATCTCTCTGTCTCTGTCTGTCTGGCGAGCGCATGCGCCCTATAGCAAAAACCTCTAAAAAAAAAAAAAATTAGCCCTCTCAGGCCTGGGGCTTATTATTCCCCACATGGGAACAGCCCCTGGCACTTAGCAGATGCTCAAAAAAATATTTGTTAAAGGGGCTGGCAGGTGGCATGGGAGTTAAGGGCACTGGACTCCCACATGGGCAACGACAGTTCGCATCCCAGACCTGGAGACTTGCTTGCTTTCTCACTTTCTCTCTCTCTCTCTCACTCTGTCCCTCTCTGGTCAAGTTAAAATAAATAAATTAATAAGTTAATTAAATAGTTCCTTTAAAAAATAAGAAATAAATATCTGTTAAAGAACGAGTGATTCCCTAACTTGCCGAAAGGCGCAACTGTTGGTTACAGACTGCACTGAGGGCCAGCAGGTGGCTAAGACAGCTGGAGCCCACATGGGCCACTACACCATTTGAATCCCTGCAGCATGTGGCGTAGAAAACATGCCGGGAACATGTGTGTGCCCCAAATCCTGAGAGAATGGAGAAAGGATTGCGGGGCTGTGGAAGGCCGCATCTTAGATCTTGCACACGAACGACTGTCCGTCCATTCTGTTCCCTTCCCCAAACATGGCTGCCTGCTTCTGTAAACCTGCTTGCTCTTCCCGGGAGGAAACAGCTTCTGCTGGCCCCACGGAAAACCGTATCCGGGACATCCTGGACCTGCTACTGTCTGTGCTGACCAGCCCGAAACCCTTTTGTTTAGCGATGGAACTGCTCGCATGGAAACCCCACTCCCCGCAGAAATAATTACCCTGCTTGATTCAGCTTCTGTAACTGCTTGCAGAGAAACCCCTGCTAACTGACCCCCGATAAAAACACTGCTGGCCTCATAAACATGGATCAGGAATTGGAGTCACTGGTGGCGCCTGGATCTGGTAAGATTCGAGTTATCTGGGTTTGAGAGCTCTCCTGGTGGGACTTTAGGAGGGGTGGACGCAGCAGAACCTCCAGGTCCCTGGGCCCGAGTGCGACGGCACTTGGGGTCCCTGGCGACAGTGATTTCTGGATACACTGTCTGGCTTTGTCTTGTCTTTGAGAACGGGACAGGACCAGTTCTGACTCTCGGTTCTCCGCCACCCCCCAGCCTCAGCCTGTAGTCGCTGGCCAACTATAAAGACTCCCTTTAAACTGAAATCTGGCTTTGGTGGTCGTTCATAGGTGGCGCTCTACGACAGGGCGGCCATCTCCCTGGAGGCGTGCTTTCTCCCTGTCTCTCTCTCTCTGTCTCTGTCTCTCACAAGTGAGCATAAGCACACTATAGCAATTTGGAAAAAAAAAAAAAAAGACACAGAGAGTTTCCAAGGGGCCAGGAACCATGCAATGCCTTTCCTCTCCACCCCCTCAGGACCATCCATGTTACACGTGAGGAAGCTGAGACTCGTGGGAATGCCCCTCTTTCCAGATCGCAAAGGGATCACAAGTTTGGGTCCTTTCCCACCACCCAGAACCATCTCTGAGATGTAGCCTGGATGGGTGTCAGGAAACCTGTCCCCAAGAGTCAGAGCACCCTGACCGTGGGACATTGTCGGTCTCCCGGGGCCTCGTTTCCCCCCAAACTGTTCATCTTGCACTCTCTGTAGGGACACTCAGGCACACCCCGCCCTCCTTTGCCCCCGAGGGGATCCTAACCGGGTCTTGGCAGGAAGGTCACTCTGTTTGATACGTTCAATGGCTTTCTTGGCCTTGTCCTCCAGGGTGTTTCCAAACTCCTTCAGCTTATCCGGGAGGCCCTCCAAGGTGCTGGAGAAGTCCGGGGCTGCCTGGGCTGGCGCTGGGCCTGTTCAGAAAATAGGTAGAGGTTGTAAACATTTTATTTATTGGAAGCCCTTAGGATGGGATCCCAGGAGCGAGTAAAGAGATTCTGGAATGTGGTTCTCAGAGGCCAGTGCTAGAAAGGGGAGAGGGCACTGGAGTGAACCGATGGGGCTTAAGCTGCCACCTTCCTTAGCGCTGGCCCTCACAACACCCACCCCTGGCTGTAGAAGCAGGACAGCCAATCCTAGAGTTGTGGGAATCAATGCATCATCGGTTGCTAGGGCTCTCCTGGGCAGATTTGCTGCCAATTGCACTGACCTTTAGACAGAACTTAGAGACCCCCTGGGTGTGGGGGAGGGGAAGGGCGAAACAGGTGGTGGGGATGATCCCGGAGGAAGGAGGAACAAGGTCACAGCAGGAAGAGCAGAGCAGGACCCTCTGAAGGGTCCTTTAACATAAACCAAAGACCCATGCCCGGCTTCACGCTTCCATCTCTCCAACGCCCCAATTCTCCTGCCCCGCCTTTACCTTCCAAAACCACGGACAGAGCCACCAGCAGGACTGGGAGTGACAGGAGGAGCCTCATGGTGGGCAGGGGTGCTCTGGAGGCAGAGGAAGGGCGGGGATGATCAGTGCACCCCTCTGCCTTACTCCCACCGCCCCCCCCACTTTCTTTCTGGGTTAGGGGTTGGGGTTCCTCCCAGGCTTGCAGCACCAACCTGGATCAGTCGCCAGTCAGCACAGGCAGAGGGCCTGGCCTCCGGGCCTTTATCTGGCTGGGGAGGAGGAGGGTAAGGAGGAGGAGGGTGAGGTTCCTCTCCCTCCTCCTGAGCCTCCCCTCCTCCGCCTCCCGGTGACCACCCACCTTTCGCCTCCCGCCCCTCCCCGGTGGGAGTTGGAGGGTCAGGTGAGGTCTGGGCACATCCCTGAGGCACAAAGCCTCTAGCAGTTCAGCACCCCCACCTCCAAGCCTCCCTGGCTGGGGGCCTCCCTGCCACAGC